ATATCTACAAATAGCCATCAACTATTACAACAATTCACACTATATCTACAAATAGCCATCAACTATTACAACAATTCACACTATATCTACAAATAGCCATCCACTATTACAACAATTCACACTATATCTACAAATAGCCATCCACTATTACAACAATTCACACTATATCTACAAATAGCCATCAACTATTACAACAATTCACACTATATCTACAAATAGCCATCCACTATTACAACAATTCACACTATATCTACAAATAGCCATCAACTATTACAACAATTCACACTATATCTACAAATAGCCATCAACTATTACAACAATTCACACTATATCTACAAATAGCCATCAACTATTACAACAATTCACACTATATCTACAAATAGCCATCAACTATTACAACAATTCACACTATATCTACAAATAGCCATCAACTATTACAACAATTCACACTATATCTACAAATAGCCATCAACTATTACAACAATTCACACTATATCTACAAATAGCCATCAACTATTACAACAATTCACACTATATCTACAAATAGCCATCCACTATTACAACAATTCACACTATATCTACAAATAGCCATCCACTATTACAACAATTCACACTATATCTACAAATAGCCATCCACTATTACAACAATTCACACTATATCTACAAATAGCCATCCACTATTACAACAATTCACACTATATCTACAAATAGCCATCCACTATTACAACAATTCACACTATATCTACAAATAGCCATCAACTATTACAACAATTCACACTATATCTACAAATAGCCATCAACTATTACAACAATTCACACTATATCTACAAATAGCCATCCACTATTACAACAATTCACACTATATCTACAAATAGCCATCCACTATTACAACAATTCACACTATATCTACAAATAGCCATCAACTATTACAACAATTCACACTATATCTACAAATAGCCATCCACTATTACAACAATTCACACTATATCTACAAATAGCCATCAACTATTACAACAATTCACACTATATCTACAAATAGCCATCAACTATTACAACAATTCACACTATATCTACAAATAGCCATCCACTATTACAACAATTCACACTATATCTACAAATAGCGATCAACTATTACAACAATTCACACTATATCTACAAATAGCCATCCACTATTACAACAATTCACACTATATCTACAAATAGCCATCCACTATTACAACAATTCACACTATATCTACAAATAGCCATCCACTATTACAACAATTCACACTATATCTACAAATAGCCATCCACTATTACAACAATTCACACTATATCTACAAATAGCCATCCACTATTACAACAATTCACACTATATCTACAAATAGCCATCAACTATTACAACAATTCACACTATATCTACAAATAGCCATCAACTATTACAACAATTCACACTATATCTACAAATAGCGATCGACTATTATAATAATTAACACTTTATTTACAGACAGCGATCGACCATTATTATAATTCACACTTGATTTACAAAGAGTGATCGACTATTATAATAATTCACAAACAGAGGTCGATTGTGATATCATTCTTATTTTCTATCTACAAACAGTTATCGACTGCGGGTCTCTCCCTTTGACTCCCAACTCACAGGTCACCGCCATGGAAACAACTTACGGAAAGAAGGCAAACTTCACATGCATGGATGGGTACATCCCTGCTGGGGGTCAGCCTATATTGACATGTAATGCCAGCGGAGCATGGGATCCAAACCCTCTAGTCTGTGAAAGTAAGATTGTCTTTGTTGTTCATTAACAATTATCTATATCATGATCGTTGTCACCTTTATTGCTAGCATCTTCATGATTACAACCACCATCATCTACACTATCATCTGTGGTAACAACATGACTATCTTGAACTTTTGGTGGCGATATGTACGGTGTAACTAGAGAAGACAATGTGATTGTATATTTCAGTGGACAGGATTTACATATTGTGTCTTATTATTTCTTTATATAACACTGTAGGAATGCATTTGACGAAATATCTGAGACAATAAATTGTGACGGTGCTGTTCACGTTTCCAGGTCCATGATTAGATTAACGTCCCTTGCCATTCATGCCTCCTTAGGTCGCTGGACCTCGCCTATGTTGCGGGGGAGTCATGTCTACCAAATTGGGAACGGTTCAACCGTTAACTCTTTTCTGGTTCTCTCACTGCTCACTTGCGTGAATATGTTCACGTTCTGCTAACTGCGCGACGGTTCGGAGTACCGACACAGCGATAAGTTTCGATTTCTACACTCCTTGTAACTGCTTTCTTTCTCTCGCGTGGAAGCCACCGTCAACGAACGTAGAAATACAAAAATATCCTAGTTTCGATAGTCAAGAATCGTTGCAACTGCGGCCCTTCCCCCTGCAGTACTTCATACTTGTACACAGGCTCCTGCTGTGCCTGAAATAGACTCACGACAACACAACCTCCCACAGACATTACATCCGCCGAGCAAACGCCAAACCAAGCCATATCAAAACACCCCCGCAACATAGAAGAGGTCCAGTGACCTAAGTTGGCATGGAATGGCAAGGGAAGCTACTCTAATCCTGGGTATGGAAACGTGAACAGAACTGTTGTGAAATAACCCACAGAGTGCCAACTGGTCCACATAAATATGAGTTTACATTCATTTGTCTGATGCAGTGTTGGAGTCAGAAGGGTCCTTAATTATTTTGTTGCTTAGACCATGTGAACGAAAGATGTTGCCTACGTTAATCCAAAAACTGATCTTACCCTAAACAAACATATAAAGGAATATATTGTTTCTCTGTATAGAAGTCAGTTGTGGACAGCCCCCATCCGCCCCAAACACAGAGATCACGGTGAAGAACACAAGTTACGGGGATACAGCCAACTACACTTGTACACAAGGATACACCTATGATGAAGGGGATATGATACTGACCTGTGGGTCGCAAGGATCGTGGGAAGGAGTTTTGATGTCTTGTATCAGTGAGTTGATGTCTTGTATGAGTGAGTTGATGTCTTGTATCAGTGAGTTGATGTCTTGTATCAGTGAGTTGATGTCTTGTATCAGTGAGTTGATGTCTTGTATCAGTGAGTTGATGTCTTGTATCAGTGAGTTGATGTCTTGTATCAGTGAGTTGATGTCTTGTATCAGTGAGTTGATGTCTTTGGCTTACATTCTACTTCCTGCGCCCATAATTCGGGGTGGGGGGGGGCGGGGTGGGGGGGGGGGCGGGGTGGGGTGGGGCGGGGTGGGGGGGGGTGGGGGGGGGGGGGGGGGGGGGGGGCGGGGTGGGGTGGGGCGGGGGGGGGCGGGGGGGGGGGGTGGGGGGGCGGGGTGGATGGGGGGGGTGTTGGGGATTCAGGAAGGGAAGGGAATAGGAATAGAGGAAAAATGCAGAAAGGTTGAGAGTTGGGAATCTAAAAAAATGTGATGCTCTAATTACGGCAGACTTTTCTTAGAGTGGGCCAGTCTTGCTAGTCACACTCGCCATCGCCATGGGCTGTGATTCCCATAGCTTTTTAAAACACAATATAAAACTATCGTCTGGAAAGACGGAAAGGTGCCAGTTTTGGCGCCAAGGTAAATTTAAAAGAAAATGATATCAGCCTCTATCCAAAGGTGAGCCCAATACCTTCAGACCGGCAGGGCAGTGTCTAGTCACTACACTACCATAGACCACCGAGTTCCGGGGTTAGCGTTACGGATGCCCTAATTATAACTTCTTTAGAGGTTGAACGGGCATCTGCCTTGTAGGTCTGCCGTCCAGATAAAGTTTTATGGAAATTAGAGTTACCCGTATGTGTCAATGACTCCCTACACACATGATTGTCATATTCCGTCTCTGGAGACAGCTTTTATCGAGTTTGCTCTCTAGACCGTTTGCGATCCCCTGTTGACGAGATTCCGTGTTTTCCTTGACAATGGCCCGCAGCGATCAACACATTGCAAGAATAGCGTGCCCGAGGTTGCAAAAACTATCCGTCATCATTTCGTCCTGACATAGCACAACCATAATTGACGCTTTCCCCACAGAAAATTAAATGTATCCTGCATTGAAAAGGCGCACAAAATAGCAGTCCATACCAAGGGAAAAGAGTCATCCACGGGAAATCATAGATAGCTACCAAGAAATAACACAGCCGATCGTCTCCATCTTGAAAACGGAAGTCGATTAAGGATTGTAAATCTCGTAATGGTAACGTATACGTTTAGGCAGCCGCCAGCAGGGGACCATCCGATCAATAGATTGATCATATTCCTGATACGCGACTGGCGTAAAATATAGTCCTTTAATTTTTTGCTTAGACACTGTGAACTTAAACTAAGGTGAGCGCATTGAATGAAAATCTGACCTCCCGCCAAACTAATGTGAATAAATAAATAGTTTCTCTTTCACAGAAGTCAGTTGTGGACAGCCCCCATCCGCCCCAAACACAGAGCTGACAGTCAAGAACACAAGTTACGGGGATACAGCCAACTACACTTGTACACAAGGATACACCTATGATAAAGGGGATATGATCCTGACCTGTGGGTCGCAAGGATCGTGGGAAGGAGTTTTGATGTCTTGTATCAGTGAGTTGATGCTTTTATCTCACATTCTTCTTCTTCTGTCTTTTAATTTCTTTTAAATATTTTGTCTTACAGTGAAGTTAGACCATGAACTATTTAGCGACAAGTCGTCCTACCATGTGTCATCATAGGCAGGTCATTTCAAGCCTTCCCCGTCTCTTAACCCACTTCTCCGAATGTCTATATTTCTCGGTTTTAATTTATGGGGTTTTTGGCGACCGTGTGGGTTCCACGGTTTCCCTTGAAAGATAGCTAGTTCTTCGCTATTTTTCACAGTAGCTTTCAAATCCAGCGACAGTCTGTTCTTCATTTTATAGTAGACTTGAATTGTTTTCTTCTCTCTAAACAATGTTTCAATGTGATTCTGTCAAGCCATTCAATTACTATGTTGTTTCTGTTTCTCAGAAGTCAGTTGTGGACAGCCCCCATCCGCCCCAAACACAGAGCTGACAGTCAAGAACACAAGTTACGGGGATACAGCCAACTACACTTGTACACAAGGATACACCTATGATGAAGGGGATATGATCCTGACCTGTGGGTCGCAAGGATCGTGGGTTGGAGTTTTGATGTCTTGTATCAGTGAGTTACAGTCTAAAGTTTACATTCGTTACCTCTACACAGAAGAGTGTACGTGCAGAGCTAGGACTGAAGACAGATTCACATTCTACCAGGTCATAATTTTGTTGCCCAGTGACATTTATACATGAATAGCTTTCTAATTCTTCTGCGTTCACCCTCTCAAAAAAAAAAAAGTTAGCAAATTATCTTGTGGTTTACAGCAAGACTGTATTATCTGCATTTTTCCGGCGCATATTCAATTTCAGCCAACCCCTATTTAGTCGTCTATTACGACATGGTTCGGGGGAGGTGGGAAGGGGGATGTAGATTTTGTTTTCCTTCAAAATGTGGCACTGGAACTACCATGGGGAACATTTTAGCAACTCTGAATGAATCTATTGTACTGTATCTTCTCGCTGACCCCATTGTACTTTGTAGCACAGGAACCTAGAGAAGATACAGCGGACTAGTGTGGAAACTTCAGGCCTGCGAGTAATACGTTGTGAGTTAAGAACCGACAGTATAACACCCGTGACATTCCCATAGCCTCATGTCCCCATCTTCAGCAGCAAGAGCAGACCTTCAATTCCGATGCTGCCAGTAGCAGTTTTTCTTCTTCTTCTTCTTCTTCTTCTTCTTCTTCTTCTTCTTCTTCTTCTTCTTCTTCTTCTTCTTCTTCTTCTTCTTCTTCTTCTTCTTTCGTTCGCCTGAAATAAGTTGTCTATATCAGCAGTTTTGTCTCTTGTATAAATTTCACTGTCGTTGTTAGTTCATTCAGTGGTCCATAGAGTTTACGTTCCACTGTTGTTCTTTCTGGCCAAAAGGTTTGCCTTAATGCGTCAAAATCGGTGCAGTCCTGGAGTACATGCTCTGCTGTCTGGGGCACATTTCCACAGGTGCACATGGCTGATACACCTATCTTGAATTTTGTGCACATGTGGTTACGTAATCGATTGTGCCCTGTTCTGAGGCGGAGGATAATGACTTGTTCTGGTCTGTCCATAAAAAAATAGTCGTCTTGTGCTAGGGCTGGTGGTTTCCTGATCGATTTAATGATTCTTTTATTTTGGTGGTATGTGAATGGTACATCCGGCTGCACTTTTGTCGCACCTTCTCCTGCCAGTTGATCAGCTTTCTCATTTCCAGGCCCTCCACAATGAGACGGTATCCACTGAATTACGACTCTTCGCTGAAGGCTGAGTTGTGTCAGCAGTGTTTGCAATTCTGGAAGTTTCCTAGACTGGAGTGCTTCAAGTACTGATTTTGCCAGTAGCAGTCTGATTGTATGTCCGGCTCGTCCTTCCCCTGAGTGTTGATCGTCGCCAATCTTAGCCCTGCATGGTTTAGGACAGTGTTCCTCAACTTGTTTACACCCGCAGCCCATCAAGACTTGGAAAACTGTTTTCCGGCTCACTTGACAGCTACGTAAGCACAGAAACAAAAACAATTGTAGACAGCAACTTATTTTAAAATCCGATGTCCCAAAATTGTCCCAGATTATCAGTCCGTGTAACGTTTTGTGATTCTCATATTTGAGGTGTTCATTTTACATGTCCGAAACTTCTTCTTCTTCTTCGCGTTCACCAGCTGTACACTCTGGCGGAAAGTTCTAGTTGTTCGTCCACACCTGGACTGCAGTCCAGAACTTGGGTGTTGCGTGTGCATCAGTTTTACAGATCTGATTCACTTGAATGCAGACTGTTGGTTCCTTGCCTCTCAGGCAGATGCACTCCGACTTCAAAGGAAGCTACCAATTATTCGACTCTTACGACATGCTTTCTGGTAGGCAGTGGGTATATTCTTGTTTTCCCCCACAATGGGGCCCCGGATCCCACACTGGTAATGTCCGAAACTGACCCCGGTTAGATGCAGATCACCACAGAGAGCAATGTTATGCAGATACAGCGGTAACAGGGCCAGAGGTCGACCACGCAAATATGGACCGCACAAATATCAGAGACGCTCAAAAGTACTACATGTATTTACGAAGCCAGCATAAGGACCCGTTCCAGAGATCTCTCTTGTCCCTGACGCCATGAGGCATTCCAGGAGTAGAGAAAAGAAAGAAAAAGAAAGAAAGAATCCTACATGCTGCAGTCCTAGAAGAGAAACAAAAAAAACACCTACCATAACCCGTCACACGATTAGTCAGAAATGGAGGCGGCATACCTGGACTTTTTCACGGCCCACCGGTTGTTGTATACTCGTTTAGGGAACTACTTCCAAATGTTATCTGTGTGTTTTAACATTTTATGATTTTATTTGTTGTACAGAAGTAGACTGTAAACAACCGCCAACGGTTCCAAACACCGATGTCACGGTGAACAAAACCAGTTACGGTGATACAGCCAACTACTCTTGTATCCATGGATACGCCTATGAGAAAGGTGACACGACCCTGACGTGTGGGTGGAACGGAACCTGGACCGGCGTGTTGTTGTCTTGTACAAGTAAGAAATTAACAATTTTCACCATTGGTTATCGGTAAAATTTCAACAGCCAGGAAGAGAAAATTTCTTTCTAAAGTCAATCCTAAAAAAAAAAATAACTTAATTAACGAACTTGAAAACTACAACGATCTCCCGGGCTACTTCTAGTACTACTACTACTGCCACTACCATCACCACTATTACTGTTGCTGCGGCTACTGCAACAATAACACCTTTACTACTGCTGCTGCTATACTACAACAATGACAGCCTTTGCTGCTACTATAGCAACTATTGCCACTACTACTGCTGCTGCTATTTCTACGCTGATTTCGTTACAGCCAATACTGTTGCTACTACTTCTGCTGCAGTTTTTGCTACTGCTACTAGAATTACTTGTAATACTACTTTTAATACTATATAACCTAACGAAACGTATTCAAAAAATCATCGTCTTGTAAATAACAGGTTATGTCATTGCAATATATGTGCATTAAAAAAGTTTTCTGTTTAAATGTATGTGGTAATTAAATGTCTGGGCTAACAACTGACCTGTTATTTATTATTAATTATGAGAGGATGAGCGAATGAATAACTGTAGGCAGAGATTGGAATGGAAGGGCAAAATGTTAAACGGGCCTGTGTGCCTGATTCTTACCCCTTTGAAAATAAGTTATCTTTTGTTCGTTCTGTATTACACCAATGTTTGCGCTCATCAAATAAATGTAATAATCAAAAAGAATATTTTAATCGAATGTATGTGTTAATGACATGTCCGTGGTACCGACAGGAGTTTCCTGTGGGAAGCCACCCAATGCAACCAACGCTAGTGTCAACACAACAGGCACTCTCTATGGAGACACAGCTACCTACACTTGTCTGCCTGGCTACACCGTCGTGCACGGAGACAAGTTCCTTAAATGTGATGCTTCTGGCGACTGGGTCGGTGCTCCTCGTCACTTGTCAAAGTAGGTCACTTTTATTTTGCTTAGAATTATTGGCCTTAAAATTGTAGTACCTTGGCTTTGTGCTGTCAAATTGTGCTGTCAAATTGTGCTGTCAAAATACGCTTTTAATTAATAAGCAAATACACATGTCAATGTATGTAATAATACTAAACTGAATCTATGTGCCTGAATTCTACAGTCTGTTGCAAGTAATACATAACTACTGCAATACTAACCAAATGTAATAGAGAGGCATAAATATCCTAAACTGAGCTAGACAAAACTTTGTATATGCTTATTACATCCCAGATAGGTTGAACCGGATATTGTTGTAAAAATTACTTATAATCATTTTCCTGTTTGGCATTATTTGTTACATGGAGCTTGCAGTTTAGTCTTCTATCCCGTTCTATCCTTACGATCCTTTAAATATCATGGATGAAATCCTGTCCAGCATCTTTGGCTTCTCTCATCACCGTTCGCTTTAGGGTTTCTTTTGGACGCCCTCGCTTCTTTAATTCCTATATTTCCTATTTCAGTGCCTGTCTAGTGATTTTCTACTCGTTTCTTCTCAGGATTTTCCAATATAACGCCATCTCTTTGTCTGACAACAGTTGCTTACATTACCCCTACATATAAATGGTTTGTTCTTTATTCTTTCCACAGAAGTAGACTGCAGTCAGCCACCACCGGCTCCAAACACCGATGTGGCGGTGAACAAAACCAGTTACGGTGATACAGCCAACTACTCTTGTATCCATGGATACGCCTATGAGAAAGGTGACACGATCCTAGCCTGTGGGTGGAACGGAACCTGGACCGGCGTGTTGTTGTCTTGTACAAGTAAGAAACTGACAATTTTCACCATTGGTTGCCTGTAAAATGTCAACAGCTAAGAAGAGAACTTTTCTTTCTAAAGTCTTTCCTAAAAATTAACGAACTTGAAAACTACAACGATCTCGCGGGCTAATTCTAGTACTACTACTACTACCACCACCATCACCCCTAATACTGTTGCTGCGGCTACTGCAACAATAACACCTTTACTACTGCTGCTGCTATACTACAACAATGACAGCCTTTGCTGCTACGACAGCAACTATTGCTACTTCTACCGCTGCTGCTATTTCTACGCTGATTTCGTTACTGCTAATACTGTTGCAGCTACTTCTGCTGCAGTTTTTGCTACTGCTACAAGAATTACTTCGAATACTACCTTTACTACTTTTAACCTAACGAAACGTATCAAAAAAATCCTCATCTTGTAAATAAAATAACAGTTTATGTCAGTAGTATATCTGTACATTAAAAAAAGTTTTATGTTTAAATGTATGTGGTAATGAAATGTCTATGCTAATCACTGATCTGTTATTTATTATCAACTATGAAAGGATGAGCGAATGAATAACTGTAGGCAGGGATTGGACTGGAAGGGCAAAATGTTAGACAGGCCTTGTGCCTAATTTTTAACCCTTTAAAAATAAGTTTTCTGCTCTTTCGTTAGTTCTTTATTAAACAAATATTTGTGCTCGTCAAATGGATGTAATAATCAAAAGGAATCTTTTTATCGAATGTATGTGTTAATGACATGTCCGTGGTGCCGACAGGAGTTTCCTGTGGGAAGCCACCCAACGCAACCAACGCTAGTGTCAACACAACAGACACTCTCTATGGAGACACAGCTACCTACACATGTCTGCCTGGCTACACCGTCGTGCACGGAGACAAGAACCTCAAATGTGATGCTTCTGGCGACTGGGTCGGTGTGCCCGTCACTTGTCAAAGTAGGTCACTTTTGTTTTGCTTAGAAATTATTGGCTTATTGTGCTTTCAAAGTACGCTGTCAAATAATAAACCAATACACAGGTCAAATGTATGTAATATTAAACTTAATCTATGTTCCTGCATTCTACAGCCTGTTGCAATTAATACATAATCAATGCAATACTAACCAAATATAACTGAGAGGCATAAATATCCTAAACTTTGTATATCCTAATTATATGCCAGATAAGTTGAACCGGATATGGCTGTATATATTATATCTCATCTTTGTTCTGTTTGCCATTATGTTACCTTACGCTTGCAGTCTATTTCTTCATCCCGTTTGTCCAGGGCAATCCCCTCGATATCATGGATATAATCTAGTCTAGCAGCTTTGGCGTTTCTAGTCAACGTTCGCTTCAGGGTTTCGTTTGGACCTTCTCGCTTCTTTAATTACTATATCTCGTATTTCAGTCTCTGCTTGGTGATTATATGCTCTTTTCATCTCATGATGTTTCCAATATAACGCCATCTCTTTGTCTTACAACAGTTGCTTACATTACCCCTACATATAAATGGTTTGTTCTTTATTCTTTCTACAGAAGTAGACTGCAGTCAGCCGCCATCGGCTCCAAACACCGATGTGGCAGTGAACAAAACCAGTTACGGTGATACAGCCAACTACTCTTGTATCCATGGATACACCTATGAGAAAGGTGACACGACCCTGACCTGTGGGTGGAACGGAACGTGGACCGGCGTGATGTTGTCTTGTACAAGTAAGAAATGAAAATATTCACTAAATGGTTGCCTAAAAAATTTAAACAGCCCAAAAGAAAACAGTTCTTTCTAGAGTCTATCCTAAATAAATAAATAAATTATCGAACATGACAACAACAAAGATCTGCCGGATTATCTCTAGTACTACTACTATCACCACTAATACTGTTGCTGCTGCTGCTCTAGCTGCTTCTGTTCTTTTTGCTAATACTACTGCACCAATAACACATTTACGGCTGCTGCTATACTACAACAACAAAAACAACCTTTGCTGCTGCGACGGCAACTACTACTACCATCACTACTGCTGCTGCTGCTGCTGCTACTGCTACTGCTACTACTACTGTTTCTACTCTGATTTCGCTACTGCTGTTGCTGTTGCTGCTACTACTGCTGTTGCTACTGTTTCTACTCTGATTTTGTTACTGCTACTGCTGCTGCTACTATTACTGTTTTTACTCTGATTTTTCTACTGCTAATGCTGTTGTTGCTATTTCTTTTGCACTTGTTGCTACTGCTACTTGTGATACTTTTAGTACTACTACTCTTACGACTACTTAACAAAATAAAACATCCACTAAATTAACATCTTGCTAATTAAATCTGTAAATGTTTAAAAAAAAGTGCTATTTTTAAATGTGTGTAGTAATTTAATGTCTGTGTTAACCACTTATCTCTGTTTAAAAAAGGATTGTGTGCATCAAATGGATGTGGTAAAGAAATGTATGTACTAATGACATGTCCGTGGTGCCAACAGAAGTTTCCTGTGGGAAGCCACCCAATGCAACCAACGCTAATGTCAACACAACGGGCACTCTCTATGGAGACACAGCTACCTACACATGTCTACCTGGCTACACCGTCGTGCACGGAGACAAGAACCTCAAATGTGATGCTTCTGGCGACTGGGTCGGTGTTCCCGTTACTTGTCAAAGTAGGTCACTTTTGTTTTGCTTGTAAATTGTTGTCTGTAACATTTTAGTACCATTGTCTTTTGCTGTCAAATTTTACGTCCCAAATACGCATTAAATTATTAAACGAATGTTCTTGTTCTTATTCTTCTTCTTTTCTCTATCCCTGTAATGGCTGGCAGCGACAGGACAGGAAGAGATCTCTAGAACAGGCTCTTCTGTTCATTTCGTATAAAGTACTCTGATATTTCTGTGGTCCATCTTCTGTGTGTCATCGACCTTTGGATCTGTATAACGTTGCTCTCTATGGTGCCTTGTCTGTTACCAATCTTGTTACATGGCCAAACCATTTGATCAGTGGTCTACCTTAATATACATGTAAATTTTAATGTAAACTGTAATGTAAATTGTAATGTAAATTGTATTATAACATTAACCTAGTAAATACTCTCAATGGCGGGTGCAGATTGTGGAAGGCGAGGCAGGGGTCGACCACTGCGAAGATGGATACAGGACATTGAAGAAGCATTGGCATTGAAAGCACATGGGGCCGGAGAGCTAGCAAAGAGATACTTTCAGATGTACCGTGAAGAGAGCGACGTTCTCTAAAGGACTTGTTGATTGATGATACTCCCAAAGTCTGCTACAATTAATACATAATTTATGCAAAATTACATGTCTAAATATATAATTGACAAACACAAATATTGAAATCTGAGAATACAACACTCCATATATCCCAGCCATAACCCACACGGATGGAACATGATATCCTTGTTTTAATTAGGCCCACATTTAAATGTAATGTTCTTTATTATTTCCATAGAAGTAGACTGTAGAGAACCGCCACCGGCTTCAAACACCGATGTCGCAGTGAATAAAACCAGTTACGGTGATACAGCCAACTGCTCTTGTATCCATGGATACACCTATGAGAAAGGTGACACGACCCTGACCTGTGGGTGGAACGGAACTTGGGCCGGCGTGATATTGTCTTGTACAAGTAAGAAATGAAAATATACACCACTTGTTGTCTGTCGAACTTCAACAACCGGAAAGATTAAATTTTTTTTAGATAATATGCTCCAAATCTTCTTCTTCTTTGTTCACTGGCTGTAAGTTCTGGTGGACAGTCCTGGTTGTTCGTCCATCTTGACTTTTGCTTGGTGCCCGGGCCTGAGTTTTGCGTGAGCATCCGTTTTACTGGCTTATTTTTGTGCAATTAGTTGTTCCTTGCGGCTCGGGCAGACGCACTTCGACTTCAAAGGAAGTTCCGAATTTGTCGACTCCTAGGACATGTTTGTTGGGGATGCAATGGGTCTATTCTTGCTGCCCCCACAATGGGGTCCCGGAACCCACACGTGAATGCTCTAACCAATCGCGTACATTAACAACGGGGACAATGTAAACATTTGAGACAAATATTGCAGCTACCACTACAACGACTACTATACCAACGATATGAGTTACTACTACTGTTGCTGCTGCTGCTGCTGCTGCTACTACTACTACTACTACTACTACTACAACTACTACTGCTATTACAACAACTACAACCACTACGACTACTACTACTACTACTTCTACTACTACTACTACTACTACCACTACTACTACTACTACTACTACTACTACTACTACTACTACTACTACTACTACTACTACTACTACTACTACTACTACTACTACTACTACAATTACTACTACTACTACTACTACAATTACTACTACTACTACTACTACTACTACTACTACTACTACTACTACTACTACTACTACTACTACTACTACTATTACTACTACTACTGCCGCTGCTGCTGCTACTACTACTACTACTACTACTACTACTACTACTACTACTACTATTACTACTACTATTGCCGCTGCTGCTGCTACTGCTTCTGTTACTACTACTGCAAATAGTACTACTGTTAGTGCTGCTGATGTTGATGTTGCGACTGCTACTACAGCAAATATTACTACTATTGCCAAAACAATCGTCGCGGCGTCAGTGGCTTAGGTGTTGCGGGTCCGACTCGTAATTCCAACGTACCGCGATCGAAACCCACTGCTTGCTGTGTGGATTTTTATCATGGTATGGGGCGTCACAGGTCGACCCAGCCTAAAATAGGTGCCAGGATGAATATCACGGGGAAGTAAAGACGGCCGGCTTAATGTTGACCACATTACCCACCTAGTGTGGATTGGTCTGTAAAAATATTGGATGCTCTTCCATATGCCCGATGCGCCTAAGGCGTGAAAAGGGATCTTTACTTTTTACTTTACAAATTATTTTAAAATTATATTCCTCTACTTGGCATTGCAAACCAATCCCGGCATTGATTAGCTGTTGTGCTTTTACTGGGAAAGTTTACATTTAATAGTTTGCCATTGCCCTCTTATCGATCAGCGCTACATAACACTGTCGAAATCAACAACAAGCGGTCTGCTGGATTATCGCCTGCAGATTATTCGAACAGGATATTTCGACATTACATACCGAGTTTGCAACGCAAACGAAGCTTGCTACTACTTGTTCCCAAAGTTGGTTGCGTATCCTTTACATTGCGTTGCAGAACCACCTCCAGTTTTTCTTTTGTCGTGTAATTTTATTAGACAATTTTACGCTTAGCACTTTGCTTTTTCATGAACAAATCTAGAAATAATATTATCAGACTGTAGGAACAACACCCTTCTGCTAATTCATTAAGAAACAGAAGATCAAATGGTTTGGTCAACTAGTAAGAATGCCGCCAGAACAACTGTCAACACAGGTGCTAGACATGAAAAGATCTGAAATGAAATCAAGAGGCTGCCCGAGGAGAACATAGACTGATGACATTAAAAAGCTTCAACGTCGACACGAGATGATAATAGCTATTACTACCCATCAGGCAATAGATCGCAAACTCTTCCTCCCCACGTCGCTTAAGGCAGAAGTAAATGAAATGGACAAAATGGAAATAGACTGATGATGATGATGATGATGATGATGACAACGAATTTGTCATGGCTCCCTGAACGGTAGGAACTCGTTACCACTGTCGACACCACATCAAGGCTACCCGCTGCCAAATCGCCCAGTCACTGACGTTGACTGCTACTACTAAAAGTACGGGACCCTTTCCCACGTCTTCAGGCGTACAGGGCATATAGGATTAGACCTATATTTTATAGACCAATTGGCACTTAATGGGTGATGTGGTCAGCATCACGCCGGTCACCTTTACTTCCTATGACTGCACCTGGTACCCACTCAAGGATGGGTCGACCTGAGAGTCAAGGTCATTTTTGAAAAAAATCCGGCTCTTTCAGGAGCCGAACCCATGACCCTCTGATTTTTTCTGAGCCGCTACACCACAACAACTCCAAAACTTGAGAGAGTGTGTACAAATGACATGAACTTACTACATGTGTGTACACATGGCAGGAACTTACTAGTTACATATACCACGGCGACTCCCTGGCTGCTGCTACTATTTAGCCTAAAAACGTGTGTATATGTTATCCATATGCATACAAAAATTGTATATATAAACAATGTCTGCATAATCCCGAGCGTGTGTTGATCAAATGTCTGTGTGGATCAAATATCTGTGTGGATCAAATATCTGTATCCCCCATGTGGGTTCCGGGGCCCTGTTATAGGGAAAACAAGAATAGACCCACTGCCTACCCAAAAGCATGTGGTAATAGTCGACTAATTGGGAGCTTTCTTCGAAGTCGGAGTGCATCTGCCTGAGAGGCAAGGAACCAACAGTCTGCACACAAATGTGTCAGATCTGTCAAACGGATGCACTAGCAACGCTCAAGTTCTGGAACAGGACTGCAGTCCAGAAGTGGATGAACAACCAGAACTTTCCACCAAAGTTAACAGCTGGTGAACGCAAAGAAGAAGAAGAAAATATCTGTATTATTTCAATGTCTATGGTGTCGACAGGAGTTTCCTGTGGGAAGCCACCCAATGCTACCAACGCTAAGGTCAACACAACCGGCACTCACTATGGAGACACAGCTACCTACACATGTCTGGCTGGCTACACCGGCGTGCACGGAGACAAGAACCTTAAATGTGATGCTTCTGGCAACTGGGTCGGGGTTCCCGTCACTTGTCAAAGTAGGTCATTCCAGTTTTTTGCATATAAATCATCTAAATAATGCGGACACAAACAATACGTTGCAATATTTTTTGCCTGAAATATTTCGCTGTATCTCGTCAGGTGTATTATTGCACATGTCGAGATATAGCGAAATATGCCTGGCAATAAATTGTGCAATGTATTGTTTGTGTCCACATTATTCACAATTACAACTGGAAAATATTGTTTTGAATATAAATTATCATTCATAGACTGTTTGTTAGCTGTATAATGACTGTAACTGGACAGCTTAATGATAATTGTCATAAATATTAATATTTGGTTAGAGGTAAGATAACTGATATAGTAAGTAAGTTGTACCCCACCAGGACATCACACAAGCGATAAACACCCGGTGACACAAAATGCCACCATGCGGATGAGGACCACCCGTCAGACCAACGACTGACTAACGACTGACTAACGGCTGACTAACGGTTGACTAACGACTGACTAACGGTTGACTAATGACTGACTAACGACTGACTAACGGCTAACTAACGACTGACTAACGGCTGGCTAACAGCTAAATAACGACTGACTTACGACTGTATTTATCCGACGATCCATTAAATCAAAACCATATTTTAATCAAAAATCTGCATATATCAAATATGTGTGCTTATAAAATATATGTAAAAATCTGATGCCTCTGTTAAAAACATGTCTTTGGTACCGACAGGAGTTTCTGTGGGAAGCCACCCAATGCAACCAACACTAACGTCAACTCAACCGGCACTCTCTATGGAGACACAGCTACCTACACATGTCTGCCTGGCTACACCGTCGTGCACGGAGACAAGAACCTGAAATGTGACGCTTCTGGCGACTGGGTCGGTGTTCCCCTCACTTGTCAAAGTAGGTCAATCCGGTTTTTACCTTCAACTTTTGTTAAACCAATTGGTAATAGACAAAGTCAACTCGCATTAAATTTACCTTTCTACTTTAATTTATTCATTTTTAGTTTTGCATACACACTTCGTTTAGATCTGGATTTGTGTGCTGACTGTCGGTTCTTCCCCTCAGGCAGTTGCATCCCGACTTCGAAGGTAACTTTACTCGACTCTTACGACATGCTTGTTAGGAGGCAGTCGGTCTACTCACCCCACCCCCAAATGAGGCCCTGGAACTCACACACACACAAACACACACACACACATTCATCTAGTGCATTTTAAGGACTGTTATCTGTCACCTGAGAATATGCCACTGGCATGAATGTGAATTCTTACTCCATGCGAGTCACAAAAAAGAATTACTTTTTATGCAACTCGTCATCAGATGTCTTTCCGACTGGCGTTGTCGATCATACCTCTCCATAATCCGTGATTTACAACTGCGTGTATCAGTTCGTGTGTTGACATCCTTCCACGTCATGACAAAAGGCTGTCAGAAATCATCTCGCGCTCTCTTCCTCTATCTCTATTTCCACAGATCTTTCCAGTGGTCACATGTTCCACTTGTCCCCTTCTCATAACATGACCAAAACAATGATGACTGTCTCCTTCCGACGTTTGTGATAAGTTGTCTTCGAGTACTTGCTTCTTTCAAAACATCTGGGTTGCTCTTCTTAGCTGTCCAATAAATTCTAAGGATTCTTCTGTAAAACCACATTTCTAATTCCAATTTATTAGCAACAGTTCCAAACTGGATCCCTTTTCAGCCACCCGAAGACCTGAAAACCACATCTCCAAGATCTCAAGATAGTGTTTGGCTTGTTTATTTATTGTCCATGATTGACATCCGTATGTTACAACTGGCTCTATATAGCATGTGAGAATTCTTGTCCTAACCTCCAATGGCATGGATTTATTGCACAAAATATTCTTCATTTAACCAAACAGCTTTAATTTGCCACTCGTGTTCCAACGCCATTATCCCGAAACTATGATTTAGTGTTTAGCTGACTCAGGAGTGGTGCCAACAATATTATTATGAATAGTGAAAGTAAGTAAAGGGCTCTATTTGATACATTCAGGCGTATTGTGTATATAGAGCTAGACTTATGTTTTATAGAATAATCGGCACCCGTGGGCGATGTGGTCAACATGACACCGGCCATCTTTACTTCCCAGGACTTTGCCCGGTACCCATTTGAGGCTGGGTCGACCTGGGAGCTAAGGTAATTTTTGATAAAGTACCGTTAGAAATAGTATAAATATATAAATGGTATGAATATAAATGATAATAAGCTATTTATTAAAGGATTTGTTTAAAGGTTAGGTCCGCAGCAAACTTTTTAATATACGTTTGTTTCGCGGAGTTTTTACTAAATGGCAATCATTAATTTAGAACATGACAACTGCACAAACTTCATTTTCAGTTATCGACTGTAGAGACCCACCCAAGCTTCCCTTCACAGACGTCCAAGTATCTGGCACAACGTTCAATCAATCAGCGAACTACTCTTGCCAGACAGGATACATATACCAGCAGGGACAAGCCAACCTGGTATGTGGCGCATCTGGCAAGTGGACGGGAAATGCACTGAAATGCAAAAGTAAATATCCATCTAAAACATAAAAGAGATTTCAGTTTGTGAATTAGAACAATGAACAATGTATAAATGTTTTAACATTTTAAACAGCTTTGTGCGTGCGTGTATGTGTGCGTGTGTGTAGTATGGTAGAAAAACTAAACTGTCATTTTGTAATCTACTAGAAAACAACCAAATGAAATGGTTCGGCATCTACCTCAGCTAAAAGCAGAATGTATGCAACAAGCAATGCAATATAGAACAAATTGAAATTGAAAGAGAAGCTGACCCAAAAACATGAACCGTTCTATTTTCTGTGAACCCTCAATTAGGAAGCACACAAGCAAGAACTCTAATGCTGTTTATATCTCATGACCCAGCGACATTGCCAGGTACAAGAGAAACTAAACTAGATGAGGTCATCAGCAAAAATATTTTTCAATAGTTGAATAAGTGAACTTCGGGAATATAAATTAGAAAGTATGTGAGGTCGAGCAAATACGACCGATGAGTATATGGCATGTTTTCTTCCTTGTGTTTTCCCCTCCTGCTTGCTACCTACAAGTTTGACAATCCTGCGATTACATGAATCTTAGTCTGCATAGAAAGCTAACAGGGTAAATCTCAAATAAATCACTTAACTTCCCAAAAATGTAAAAACTTTTGCACTCGTAACAACTTGCAATAAGTCTTGTTCTGACCTTGGGCTAGCTGTCTAGGAGATGATCTTACTCACATTCTAAGATGACAACTGTGACAAGCCGACACCAACTCCAAAGTTCGATACAGTTTATTGACATCTAAACACTTACATCATTTTTTTTTCGAACAGTTCACATGTTTTATTGTTGAAATCAAACTCAAACTGTTGCTGGTGCTGTTGGTGTTGCTGCTGTTGGTGTTGCTGGTGTTGCTGGTGCTGTTGGTGTTGCTGGTGCTGCCTGGCCTGCTGTGCCTTCCTAATCTTCTGCAACAGCACTTGCATTTCTTCCCTCTTCTTTTTGCCTCGGATGTGGGTGCCCAACCTCTTTTTGCAGAACTTCAGAGCACGCTTATCCTTCTGGATTTTTAATAACTCTTGGCTTCTTTTCTTATAGGGAGAGAAGCCAGCAATCTCACGGACAAGATCTCTCACAAATTTGGCATGCTTGGTTGCAGTCCCCTTTCTGCGGGTAGGCCTCTGCTTTCTTCCACCCTCGAGTCTGTCAACCTTGTGACCCTTGTCCAGACCAACTGCCAATTTATAACGGATTCCCATTTTCTTCCAGATTCCTGTTCGATGGCGTATTAGTCAATTGTCCCGGCCATGTCAACAGCTTTCACGCAACACATTGTGCAGACGCCAACACGCTGACTCCTCACACATTCACCAACTAGAGTTCTGCGTCTTCAGTTTCACATCTCCGCATAGATGAATCTGGTCATTGCATCAAGCTTCACACAACTGCGTTGGCTGGACTTGACTTCGATGGATGTTGTCGTCTGGTATTCCTCTCGCAACAATCAGTTTCACGTTCTCATTCGCACGAACACTCTCACGTCCTCTCGTTCTAACGGTCAACGCATACTAACTGATCAGACTGGGGTCTGAACTTTTACCCAGTGTTCGTTTCACGTGGCAACACGTGGTGGTTCTTGGGTTCCACGTAGCGACCTGTGGTCGTTCTCCTTGGGTTCCACGTGATAACTCGTGATCGTCCCTTATCTTGGAAACCTCGGTTAATCCGAGTATCTGGCTTTTCTCGGTATTATTATTAGCATTGCCCCCCCCCCCCAACCTTCCCAATCAGGGTGAAAAAACGCCCTTTTACACGACTACACCCATTAAGAGTAACCCTCGGCCCTGCTGTGGGGGTGAGAGTTGTGGTTTGACGGCTATTTCATCATAAATTATGAGTAAGCATAATAAAACTGAGCTCGCTTCAAGTGAACAACTGCCACATGCCAACTCTTTGTAGGTCTACCCTGAATCTATGGCCAGACCCTGTTGTCTATATATTTATTTTAATTGCTTTGTCTATATTATAAATATATGTTTATATCAAACGCCACAACAGATTGGAAAAAAATTATAGCTGAAGGCATTGTACCGGGAAGGAGGGGCAGGGGACGACCAACACGATGGGCACATGATATAAGTGACTCCTTGAGTATGAAAGTTCATGAGGCGGGAGAGCTGGCGAGAGACCGAGTTTCTTTCAGGCAGACCGTGATGAGAGCGACGTTTTGCAAAAGACCTGCTACATGATGATGATGATATTTTTAAATGTTTGTAATACGTGATTGTTACGTAACCATTATAATTTAAAATGTGAACTTACTGGCAACAAATAAAATGTTTCTTTGAAGTCATCAACTGTGGGACCCCACCAAAGGGACAGAATCTCGTCACGAGTTATACCAGCACCACATTTGGTCAAAAAGTTATCTACTCTTGCTCGGCCAGATACAAGTACTCGAGTGGAGACAAAAATCTAACTTGTAGTCAAACAGGCAACTGGTCCGGACAGTTGATGACATGTGTAGGTAAGTAGTCATGTGTGTTGGGGAGTTAGTCACGCGTGTACGTGATTTAGTCACACGTATAGGTGATTTAGTCTTATGTGTAGCCGATTTAGTCACACGTATATGGGCGATTTAGTAATATGTGTAGCCGAGTTAGTCATATATATGGGCGAGTTTGTAATATGTGTAAGCGAGTTAGTCATATATGTGGTGTAGGTGAATTAGTCACATGTGTAGGTGAGTTAGATATGTAGGTGAGTTAGACACATGTGTAGACGAGTTAACCAATGAGTAGGTAAGTTAGTCACAGTCAGGCAGCAGCCTGTCCTTTGCAGAAAATCGCTCCCATAACAACCCTCCGGAAAACTTCTCGATCACAAGCAAGATGTCTCGCGTCAGATACACCCATCTCGAGATCATTCGCCACATCCTGCACCCATCTTCTCTTTGGCCTTCCTTCTTCCTCTCTTCCCAGGCATATGCACCTCCATTATTGTTCTCTCTAAACTTTCGTGACGTTTCAAGTCACCAAAATATTTCAATTTTCTGTGTTTTATCGTCTTTAATCGAACAACCTTCTTCAATTTTCAGTTCTTAAAAGTTAATCACAAGTGAAAGTAAACTGATTACATATGTAGGTTGTGAAAGTGTTTAAAGGCAAGAGTACCTAAGTTTATTGCACCAGATTTGATCCCGTAGGGACTTCATCTTTAGAGCGACTGCTCGTCTGCAGTAAAACACTGCACAAAGCACGAACTGCCTCACTTCAGTAACGACTCCTGTGCTTTTTTGTGGTTAATATTCACATTCACATTGTACCACCTCTATACTGTTCTCATTCACGTTTTATAATAATTAACTTTTATCATTTATGCTCTGTTATTGTACACTTTTCCCCTCATCCATGCACTGTTATTGTATACCTTTTTCTCATTCATGCTCTGTTATTGTATACTTTTTTTCTCATTCATGCTCTGTTATTGTTTACTTTTCCTCATTCATGCTCTGTTATTGTATACTTTCCTCATTCATGCTCTGTTATTGTATACTTTTCTCATTCATGCTCTGTTATTGTATACTTTTCTCATTCACGTTCTGTTATTGTATACTTTTCTCATTCCTGCTCTGTTATTGTATACTTTTCTCATTCATGCTCTGTTATTGTTTACTTTTCTCATTCATGCTCTGTTATTGTATACTTTTTCTCATTCATGCTCTGTTATTGTATACTTTTCTCATTCATGCTCTGTTATTGTATACTTTTCTCATTCATGCTCTGTTATTGTATACTTTTCTCATTCATGCTCTGTTATTGTATACTTTTCTCATTCATGCTCTGTTATTGTTTACTTTTCTCATTCATGCTCTGTTATTGTATACTTTTTCTCATTCATGCTCTGTTATTGTATACTTTTTTCATTCATGCTCTGTTAATGTATACTTTTTTTTTCATTCATGCTCTGTTATTGTATACTTTTCTCATTCATGCTCTGTTATTGTTTACTTTTCTCATTCATGCTCTGTTATTGTTTCCTTTTCCTCATTCAGGCTTTGTTATTGTATTCTTTTCTCATTCATGCTCTGTTATTGTATACTTTTCTCATTCATGCTCTGTTATTGTATTCTTTTCTCATTCATGCTCTGTTATTGTTTCCTTTTCCTCATTCATGCTCTGTTATTGTATTCTTTTCTCATTCATGCTCTGTTATGTTTTACTTTCCTCCTTCATGCCCTGTTATTGTATACTTCTTTCTCATTCCTATTCTACCGTTTACTTTTCTCATTGGTGCACTGCTATTATTTACGTTTCCCATTCATGTCTTACTAACGCCCATCTTTCTCAGAAAAAGACTGTGGTGTCCCGGATGTTGTCAACTCAAGCAACGTAAAATTTACAGTGACCACTCAGGGGTCGCAGGCAGTTTATACATGCACTGTGGGGTCCGGCAGAGTCAGTGGGGATTTTAAACGAATATGTCAGGATGATGAGACTTGGAGCGGACATCCACTGACATGTGATCGTAAGTAGGCATTGTGAGAACGTTTCACATCATTTGGTTCTTAATCTTTGTGCACCAGGATAGATTAAAGTTAACCTTATTTAAATCAAAGGTAAACAGCAAAGGTAAATTAGCTAGACGTATATTTTATAGTCCTATCGGCACCCGGTAGTGATTTGGTCAACATCCGACCATCGACTTTACTTCCCAGGATTGTACCTGGTACTTATTTAAGACTAGGTCCTGGGAGACAAGGTCACTTCTGAAAGAAAAAATCCGGCTCCGTTTGAATTTCAAGCTACGATCTTTGAATCTACAGGCGAACATCCAACCTCTCCATCACGGCGGCTTCCAAAGGTAGAAAACGCAATATTCTAAAACCTCCGTGTAATACAATCTTAGCTGTCAATTAACAGGAGTATCATGAAATGACATCCAACCAACCGAAAAGTAGAACAAATTAGCTCCTCGTGATCACAATCACAAATAACAAGTAGTAGTAATTTCTTCAACATTATCCCGTTCAACCACTAGGATTACAACTGGGATATATAGTTTTAATCGAGCTCCCAGAGCATATAAATTCGTTATTTTATACATCGTGTTATTAGGACAATTAGTAATTTATTAGAAAATATGCCAGCATCAAGAGCATACAACATGAAAATCGAAACACCAAGAGGCAGGGGAAGACCAAGAAGAAGATGGATTGAAGGAGTCACGGACAACTTGAGACTTCATAACATCACGGCATATGAAGCGACTGAGCGCGCCCTGGCTCGGTTGCCGATCATCTGATAGACTGCGACGCCTAGCGGCACAAGCAGATTTTGACAAAAGAAAGAAGAAGAAAGTAATTTATTGTAGACTGGGTCTGCTCACTGTCTCGAAGAGTCAGCTAGAGAAACTGGAGCGCATACAGAATGAAGCTATGCGGGTGATCCTGGGATGCACAAGAGACACCCCGACTGTGTGCATGCCATACATCCTTGCATTGCCGACTATTGCAGATAGACTAAAGATGCTGCAGGCTAAGTCATACCTCAGAGTAGCTGCAGACAAAGAACACCCTCTGTATGAAGTTTTGGGTGCAGGTAAGGGTCAGAGGCTGAAAAGGGGGAAATCGTGGATGGCTCATGCAGAAGACACAATAAGACAAGTATGCATGCTGGAGAACATTGGGCGAGGAGAGGAGTGGGTCAAAAAACCAGAGGAAAATTCTGACATGTGCAGAGAGTGGCCAGCGGGTGCTACGGAGGTGTAAGTACAACATGTGATTCACGACAATTCTCGCCCAGATGATCTGATTTTCTATAGAGATGTTTTAGTGTTGAGAGTGAAGAGAAGTGCCTGGGGGTTCGTAGCGAAAGGCGATGGAAAATCTTTAGTGCAGGACAACCTAGCATACGATACCACATCTAGCATGAGAATGAAGGTGGAGGCGGTAAATGCATCTTTCCTGTGGCTAGAGAACAAAACGCATACACATGTCGAAAGGTGAAGACGGGGATGCTTCGAGCAGAGCGGCAAGCTTCACTGGGAAGGTCACGGGTAGTGAGCACACTTTAGATATTTTTTCTCCAGACTATGGCAGCATGGTGGGGAATGAACAGGCAGACAGACTGGCTGTATTTGTACCACTAGTGGTGATTTGATGCCTGACAAGGCAGATGTGGTCAAGACACTCAGAGAACAAGCAGCGAGATCAGAAGAAAATCAAGATTATTATGACCTGAAGAGAATGAGGCACCTG